AAAATTCAACATTTACATCTTTTCATTCAAAAAAATATGTCCCATGCAGAAAAGCAATGGATTGCTTTAGTGGTATAAGGAAAGAACTATTTAACTGCATCCCAGTAGGAACTGCACTGCACTGTCTGATAATTCTTAAATTCTGTTCTACCTAAAATGCCGTGGTTTCATATTTCTCACTTTAACAYTCAGTTTTTTAATATTTCTCAGCTATCTTGAAATATAACTGCAGAGAGGATTTTTTTTTGAAAAATCTTTGTTACATAAGCAGTGGGAACAAAATTAGCAAMTGAATTTTAGGAAACTGAGGTCTCTCTTTGTTGGTCATGGCTGTATGAAATCTCTTTACTTTGGTTGTACAGCTCCAAATAGCTGTAACTTCCCCACACAATTCCTGAGTATTTCCTTACACGTTGTTTTCATTAAATAGAAAAGCTCCTTCACGTGTCCAGTACTAATGAGGAGACTGTGACTTGGGCAGACACTGAGGTTTTACTTCCTGCAGCTTTGCCAATCCAAATACATTTCCTAGAACAAGTGGAGTAAAATTCCACTTACATAGCAAAGCAAATAGCTTTTTCACACATTCTTTTTCACTTACCGGACTTTTTTCTTTTTCTGCTTTTGAGTCTGGATAATTTCTAGAATGGCTTCTTCTTCATAACTATGTCCACAGACTTTGTTTCGCACTGGCTTCTTCATTTTCACCTGTAATCAGTAAGGTTTGATTTAAAGGAATTGATAATGCCCATGAAAAGGTTTCTTCTGAGACTTTATATGAAACAGCAGGAAGTGTGTTTGCCATTCATACATGGCATTCCAGTAAAATTACTGGATGAGGTCCTGCATGGTAAACTGCATTCCTACTTACATGGGGTTTTTTCCTAAGCAATATTGCTCTTCTCTGATAATGCTTAAAATTTATACTATTTTGTTGTTAAATATTTTTGTAAAATATTGTTTAACAGGTACTGCAGATTTGAAATAAACAAACCAATGAAGAATATGAAATAACTATTCCCCCACCAATTATTGTAGCAGTGATAGCATACCTGTGTAATGGGACAAATAAAGTTCATCTGGCTCCGAGTCACAGCTATATCTTCATCGATTAGTTCAATGGTGTCACTACCACGATCTGATTTATGACAAAGTAGAATGGAAAAAAAGAGAAAAAAATACTTAGCATTTAATATAGATTGTCAATACTTAAAATAAACTAATAAAATCCAGCATTTGCCAAACACTATCTCACAGTGATATCTACATGAATGACACTGCAAAAAATACTGTACTATAATATCTTATAGAAAATGTGGATTTTTAGATAGTAACCACTTTGTGTATGTGTGTGTGTGTGGCTATTTACAGCCAATGCTAGAAAGAAGGGCTGGGAAGGAGAGCAGGCTGACCTGAAGATATGCAAAACCTTTGGTATTTACTATTCAAGTTCACCAAAACCCAGTAACACACAGATGAGTCCCCAGAACCTAATAAAGGATGAGGTGGAGCAGATCTGGCAGTCCCACCCTCAATATCAGCTTGTGTTTTAGTGTCATAAATGGGCTTGCTGGATAGCCTGTATAAACTGTGTACACTTTAAAAGGAATTTGTACTGTTTATCATAATGCATCATTTATAAAGTGATGTTGCTGTATTTTGTTAAGACTATAATTAGTGAAAAACAAAAGTCAGAAAGTGTGTCAGACAACAGAAATGTTATTAAAGTGACTTTAAGGAGGAAGGACAGAATTAAATACTGACAATTCCCAGAAAACACCCAATGGCCCAGTGCCAGAGAATGAAGGGTAGACAAATGAGAATAAATCCACCTAGAGCTGGAAGAGGTGCAGTTCCCCACCTTTACCAGAAGAAAGCCAGGTATAAGCAATCTGTGCACCCAGGGCACATCACCTAGTGCTCCATGCAGAAATTAATTAGCCAGAGTAGAAAGCTGAGACATGAGCACAGCTAAGGAAGAAATATATATATATATATATATATGGGTAAGATATATAGCTAAGTATAGCCTTAAGTGCATACATGTTATTTTATCTTCTAGGTCTTCTCTGTTATTGTAAATCTAGGCTTTTAGTTGAATGCATTTGCTTATATTTGAATCTTATCTAGGAATAACAGCAAACTTAACGCCTGCCATAGTTTTCCATTCCTTTGGGGTAGTTCTGCAATGCCTTTGCAGCAAGGCCCTGGGGTGCAGTCCTCAAGGTGTCCCAAGCAAAGTAAACATTTTTCTCTCTAGCTGCACAGGCTGCACTCCAAGGGAGGAGTGAGAAACACAAGGGAACACAGAGAGTTTAGAATTACTTCACRATTTGCCTTCTACAGGGTCTCAGCCTGAGTTCCCTGTGGTGCTGTTGCACGCTATCAGCCAATCTTTGCATCCCTGGCATTCAGTCTTCCACATCTATTAACGACCAGTGTTTCCTAACTTATGGTCAGTCCTGCGTGCCTGTGTGATACCATCACCTTCCGGATGATACCAGCAGCCATCACCTGTGGAGCAATCTAAACCTCTCCCACCCAGCCCAGACTGAGCTCGCTGCCCTGTGAGCCAGCACAGCTCTGCCTGGGGGACTCTTGGCATTCATGTTGCAGCCATGGCTCCAACACAGCACCTCTTGGTATCCCAGGCCTATTTCTGTATCTTCCCCTCCTCCTTAACAGATGAGGGGGGAAGATGCCTTTCTTTCCACTTCAATATTCCAAGCATTCAGGAATGTTTCTGACCCAGGTGCTCTAACCCTAGGTATTGGCATTGGAACTAGATGACCTTTAAGGTCCCTTCCAACCCAAACTGTCTCATGATTCTACTCCTGTGAATACCATGGAAATACTCAGGCAATGATCATGGATATTTCTGTGTCTGCTATTGCAGTCTCATTCAATCAACTGGAGTGGATTCTGGGGGAAAATGGGCTGAAATGCCCAATGCCAATCATAATTTCAAGGTTTTAATCTCCAAGAATATTAASATACTTTCATTAGATACTGACCACCTAATAAAGGCAAACATTTTCAAATTAGAAGGGAAAASTGATCACAATTTAACTGTAAATACCAAAACTGCAATGGTATGGAAGAAGCAGAAATGCACTTGTGTCAGTTACCAATTTTCAGGAAAAAATCTGTCACATATTATTCTYAAGATTGCTCATATGTATGGTTTATTCTATCATAAGCCCATAGTATTTGAAGAAAGTACAACTTTTGGAAGTGAAAAGGTTTTTTAATGAAGCTTTTGAAATAGAAAGCAAGGGGTGAAATCCCACTAAAACAGCAAGGCTAAACAAAATTGGACTTATTGGTAGGTGCCAGCTTTGGCATGGGCTGTTTTACTTAAAAATAATAGTGATTTTTTTTTCTATAAGTAATGCCAACAAAGAACAAGTGATTCAGAATGTCCTTAAATTCATGTACCTGTGATTTTGACATACTGCATCTCTAATCTTCCCCATGGAAAACATCACATTTTCTATGTCGTACTTTTGTTTTCAGCWTTCATGAACATGGAATTACAGGCCATGTGTATGAGGGCATCATATCAGTCAGTGACATTAGAAAGCATCAGTAATAGCAAGATCTAGGACAGGGGATTGCTTACAAAAAGATGATTAAAAAAAATCAACATGTAAGTTCCAATAAAGGTGGGGAAAGTTTTAAAATGGGGGGCTTGTGCCAGTGACTTTACTTCCAAAGCCCAACACTGTAAGTTAGGCATGTAARTGTCTTTTTCTGGAGTCCACCTGTGCTCTAACCTCCAACTTTGCTAAAGAGTCACCAACCACTTCCCTCATCACTTCTGTGTATGTTTACTTAGGTACAGACACAAGAATTTAGGAGACTGGTGAAGCATGCAAGTTCAAAAATACGAGCTCGAGCTGGGTACTGGTGCTTGAGTCTCCCCTGAAGGCCTCAGGTCTCTAAATTATGTGAGCTAAATCACAGGCTGGGGTATTTTTTTCCCATATTGGCTTTGGAGGTGATTTAGATGCCTCATGTTTAATGGTTGAAATTTCATGTGTTGAGACCAACTCCTTGTAGGTTGAGTATATTAATCTTCTTGGATTCAAACTGTCCTCTTGCTGCAAGCTTATCTTAAACACTTCAGGCTGCACTTCATTTGCAATGATTTGATATACAGTCTATCAGAGTGGGGCCCTGGCTTCAAGAGGAGATCACAGCACAAATGAATCATTATTTAAAATATTTCCTTTTCATAAGCAGCTAATATTTTTAAAAATAAATATGCAAGACTGGGATGATGCAAGTAATACCTCAAGCATGTCAATAGYGAATTAGCATAAATCAGATAAACCACCCACAGATTTGTTGTTACTGCTTGATGTTCTACATTACAGGAGAAGAAAGGAAACTAACTTTTTTCAGTGACAGTAAATTTTGCAGAGATTACACAAGRTATGTACATACATCCTAAACTGGTCAGTAAGATGCTCTAAGCTGTAGATCTCTATCTGTAGACTCATATTGGAAGATGATTTCATTAAGGTCAAAGGGAGTTTTTTCCAAATGTAATGCATAAAAGTTTGGAGGATCTAAATTGGAGGTCTGACTATTCTACAGAAAGAAATAAAAACACTGGATCATACATATTTCAGCTAAGTCAGGTTATATTTTTATAAAATTGAGTTTTCCTTGCAAATTAAAACCAGATGCAGAAAACACTAAGTTATTGTTCCCGAAATTCAGATGTTGCCTTAAGTAACAGAAGTGCATACATCTATTTTGGTAGTCTGAGAGATCACATTTTAAATGCCTTAACAGTTTCTAGTTTTCCATTCCAGCCAAMTGAAACATGTTATGAGTATTAGTAACACATTTTCTATCTGGCTATCTCAGCAATGATGTTTACAGCTRTTATAATAAAACTGCATTCTTATAAAGGTATCTATTTTTGGTAACACATCATAATGAATTTTGCAACTGCCAACTGTTTTTTTTACTTATTCAATTTTAATTAAAAGCTGGTATTAACTTACAGCTCTATCACTTTCATCTCTTGATAATATTGTGACTAATATGCCTTAGCTCAGTTTTTACCTATTCTGCTGAAAGAAAGTGAGAACTTTTAAGCCAACTTTTAAACATAGGAAAACCATAGAACAGAGACATTAACTGCTGGAATGTGAATTATACTAAGCATAGATAGCATACATGTTAAAAAACCATGAGAGAACCCCTCCGTTGTCATTGTTACTTCTGTGACCAAGAGACTGCTGTTTGCTCACTGCTCCCAGTGTCAGCAATGCCCTTTTCCCAATTTCTGTTTCTCTAATCTGGCCCTCAGTGAGTACGTGTTGCAATGTAAACTCAATTGATTTCTTTCCTTTTGTGCTGGGCTGTTCTGCCTTCTCACCTGCCACAGTCAGACACTAATCCTGGGAATCAAAGGGTAATGTTAAGCATGTAGGATTGAGTCTTTGTAAGCCTGAGCCATCAGACAGACGAGGTCTTGGCTCCCAAGAGGTTCTATTGTACTGCTGACTCCATAGAAATAACAGCAACTCATCCAGGCTGGGAAAAATCCTATCTCTGAGAGCTCCAAGAAAAACATGAATGTTATGAGGGCAAGTTGGATGCCAAGTCTTCYTGCCAGCAGGGCACAGAAAATAATGAAAGGTGGGGGAGGTGAAGGACATYGTCACATCCAAGAGTTGGGCCCTAAGAGTCAGAAGGGTGAGGAAGGGCCAGGGCCAAGTCTGAAGGAAGGACCTGACAGTGCTGATTCCACCACGGGTAATGCTGGAAGGTGGGTCGGCATGCCCATCACTGCTCTGAATTTGGGTTAGCCTTCAGTGCAGAGAAGCAGACTGGAACAATTGTCCAGTGTCCTTCCCAAGGGATGGATCTGCAGTAGCTGTAGCAGGAGTGAAAGAAGAGGGGAAGCACAGAGTAATACCTTCCTGCAAACTCTCCCAGTCTCTAGCAATTTGGGGCCAAGGACTTCCTGAGTCAGAGGTAGTATCTTTATACTTAATAAACCTTGGAGTTTTCCTTCAATGAATTTGTCTAAACCTGGAGAGGGAATTTCGGCCTGGACCTTACAGTTTGATTAGAGACAGTTATCTTTGCTAGAAAGGTTAGCAACAGTTTAATTTT